TTCTCCCACAAGATATGTGGCCATTTAGAGTCCAAAACACTGAGCATTAAAATCCACCCTCCCCTCTCTCTGTAGAAAATAAATTTCATTAAAATTGGGGTTTCCAAGTAATTTTCAAAGTTAGTGATAAAAATCTAGAGTAAAAAAATACAAACATTTAGATTCTTATCTCTAATCTCAACAGGGAAATTATTCAATCAAGTAAAATACTTTTTTAAAAAAGTTTGGACATTTACAATGCCTGCTTTGGAAGGTAACATTTACGTTCTTAGAGGGTATAACTCGGGTAGATCATTTGACTGCACATACGTTCTCAGATACATGCACTTGTAATTTGAAGAAATGATTACTTAGTTTTTAAAAAAAATTCCCATAAAAAAGTTTGACAGTCTAATCACTTCAGTCTACTAAAGCATTACAGAACCAATAATCTAATCACCTAAATGTAATCTATTTTCATATTTTGTAACAGTATTCAAGTCAGAATATTTTGTGTGTCTATTTTAGAAATGGGCCTCTACCAAACATAGGCATTCTCTTCCTAGGCCTAAATTTTGCTTACAAAGCTAAGACTATGAAAAAAAATCTAATTCTTTAACTGGATGAGGTAAGCCAGTCTGGATCACAGATGAGTTAGAAACTAGACCTAGTAGTTATCTCAAACCTAATCTATTCCACAAGGTTAGCCACAAAGTAAAGGAAGAGTTAAAGAGCAAAACGAAGAGGGAAAGACCAGCAAAAACTGGTTAATTAAATAATTAAAAGTCTGGAAAAGAGTAGTAAAAAATTTTTAAATGCAGAAAAATAAGCTCAATCTTTACATGTTACTTCTAAAGAAAAGATTTAAAGGAGTTAAATCTAAATACAGAGTATGAGCAGTCCTCTACTGCCCTTAACATTCTCCATCTGGCATCCTCCACCCCAATTCTTAATTGCCACCTCCACTACAGCTACTTCTTGATTTTTGGAGTTCATCAGGGATTCCATCTTTTTCCCATCCCTAGAATCTCCCTAGGGAATCCTTGCTTCAATTACCATCTATATGTTGGATCATCGGTTTCCAGGCCTAACTTTCTAATGAGATTTCAGTATCCAACTGCTTACCTGGTATCTCCACTTGATATTCTACAACTTCTAAAACACATTCTCTCCCTACCTCTAAACAAACCAAAAGAATCTGGTCCTCTACCAAAGTTCCTTAGTTTAGTAAATATACCCAAATGCTTAAGCCACTAACCTGGGAGTATTCTTACTTACTTTATCCAGTCAATCATTAATTCTTACTAATATGCCTTACTAAGGCTCCCATAAGGGTCATTCTTTCCACCCCTATTGCTATAATTCCAATCAAAGCTACTGTCATCCATCATCTGGATTACTCCAACAGTTTCCTGTCTGGTCCCTTGGTCTCTAGTTGTGATATCCTTCAATCTATTCTTCTCAAGGTAGCCACAGTGGTTTTTAAAAATACATATTAAAGAATGATACCAGGAAAGATGACATTTAATCACACTGTGCAAAGGATTAAAATTTGTTTTCCTTAAGTTTTCTTTAGCCAGTTAAATAGTTATCCTTGGGTATTATCTTTTATCCTCACAGCTTTTGTTCTTGTGAAACATTTTAAAACACAAACTTACATAATTTTCTTCATTAGCCAATATTACAACTTACTTTTCTAGGAAACCTGCACTCAGTTCCCACCTTCAGTTACCATGGCATCTTAAACAGCTGAGTCAGAGCAAGCTTTCTTATGAAAGTTTACAAAAGAAAACAAAAAACATTTTCTTCACAGAACATGGGAGATTGTGATAAAAATACTATTAGGTCTAGAAGGCTCAGAGAATGGGAGAATTACTTCTAAGAATTCATGTCTCCATTATAGAGTAGTCTTCATTACAGGATATAACAACAACAAACCCCTGAAATCTAGGGTTTTAAAAACAGTAAATATAAACAACATAAACTACTATATGGAAGGACACCACTGACCATATAAAATACTATGTTGCATTGTTTCTGTGCACTTAATTCTGTATACCTTCTCCATGCCATTTGCTGCTTCTAAGTTTTCCAGAAGATTTCATAGCAGTGAAAAGTCATTTCTCTCAATTCCACATTTTTATGGTTTCATGACACTGCGATGACTGATTTCAGGTCCAGTTTCAGTTACACATAGCATTGGAAATCTTTTAAAAGACTCTATGGCAGAACATTTACAAATACATTATTTCCACTGAATAATAACACAGAATGACTTGCTAAAATGGCAATTTTTACAATAATCAGGTTCAAAGTACATTATTTGAAGGCTGTTTACCTTGTAGCCTTGAATCATAATTCAGAATAGCTAAGTTTTTAACACAGTACACGCCCTATTAAACATCAGTGGAAACCTGATCTTTACCTGGAGAAAAATTCAAACTGTTAAATACATCATCATATTCTTATTTAGCAATTATAACTTTCTGAACTAAGTTAAAAATGAGTTTTGAGGTGAAAGAAGAGACCAACAGCAAATGTGAAAACTGTGTATTAGTATATTTTTCTATTTAAGACTGATATTAAAATAAATTATCTGATCCACACATAAAACATTTTTAGTAGTGGACATGAGGTTTTAAAGTACTAGCTAAATGGGCAGATCTACTGAATAATTTTATGTCTTCAAAATCATAAAAAGAAAATGGGATAGATGAGTGATGCAAATGCTACTTGTATACTGTTTGATCAGACCAGTGGAAGGTTAAATTCTCCATAATGCTTTAAAAACTGTATCTATTTTCATTTTAAGAAACATCATCAGTAATTATAAAAGCAAATTAAGTAACACAGGAAATCTAAATGATGATGGTCACTGATAAAGCACCCAAAAACTCTAATTAGACTGTCCAAGTAAGATGATTTTTTGGAGTACCTATAATACCTAAAATGCTTCTAACACTATTTAAATATTATTCCATTATTATGATTCTTACGATGAAACTCTAATAATTTGCATAAAGACAGAATCTCCTCTCTAGCCAAACTTAAGCCCTTGTGCAAGAAACCAACAAAACAAAAGCTTCTTCCTTAAGGTTCTTAATTGTCAGAAACTTGACATAATATACTGGTTTTGTTAGAATAAGAAACTTTACCGACGCCTGTTAAAAAACTGTGATAATAAAGACACAAATCTATGATGTGAATGAACAGCACCCTCAACATGTTACTAAGCTGCTGTACTCTGCACAGACTGCAAAAGCTGTATATGGCATGCCCTGCCCCAACTACTCTCAACAGCAGAGGCTACTCCTCCTACCAAACTTGGAAATGTTTCCAGTCTGAAATATTGTAAACTACTACCCAGATGAAGTCTCGATCACAAACAGGTAATTAAATTCAAAACAGTTTATATTTAGAACTTATAATGTCAGTGGGATAATGAACAAGTGTATACAAAAAAGAAGGTATTTTTTAAGGGTAATGAGAACCAGTTCCAGTTCTTTAAAAATCCCTTATTTTTAAAGTTATTTTTCAAAATGAAAAAATAAACCCAGAAATATTTTCTCAGAGTGGCATTCTATTCAATAACAAAGTACTGATAACTATTTTATAAAACATTCTCATGTTTTCCTAATATAACAATGTTCAAGATACTCCCTTAGATGCCAGATCAATGTCATAACTCTTGCATATTCTAATTCTCCAAAATTACATAATCAACCAAAGATTGTCATGTGTTTCCCAATGAATCCTAAAGACTAAACTGCTCAAAAGAATAAAGCAAGAGAAAAGTTTTACCCAAGACATTTGGTATGCTATTTTATCCTCTGATGAGGCAGAAGGAGACCTTTTCTTACAAATAATTCATTTTACTTAAAGTTCATAGACTTCAGGAATGTATACTTTTCCAGTTTATTTTGAATTATGTTATTTGCTTTCATCTAATTTTAATCATGCAAGAGTGATCATACATCCTGATTTCCTGAGACCATTGTTGGGCTGTTGGCCCTATATAACTATTGGTATTGCCCCCTTTTCATTTCAGAAGTGTCTCCTTTTATATACTTAGTTACTATACATTCTTACTGAGAAACAATGATAAATTCTCCAAACTGAAATTTGGTTCCAATACACATGGTTTAGAAATAACAGATGGAAAGCAAAAGGTTGTAACAGAAGTTTACAGAAAACCTAGATGAACTGTAATGTGTAACAACTTATCTATTTTAAATGATTCAGGCTGTGCAATTAGATAAATTAGAATTTGCAATTACATTTTTTAAAAGATCATTCCCATTGTGATACCTACATTTTAATATAAGCACATATAAACATTTTATGTGTATTTTCCCTTCCTATATCATCTACTATTTTCATTTGTATCCATAAAGTTCTTAAATTATTTAGCACTTCTTCCTTTCTGTATGCAATAATCATGTGGGATTTAGAAAGTATGAAACTCTCACAAAAGGACAGCTTGACATTACCATTGCCATTTTTCTGCTACATATTAACAAAAAGCAAAGTTTAGAGCAATGTTTTTATAAGGTAACATCCTCTGACATTTTAATTTTATTTGCTGAGTCTCATGGAGAGACTAAATATAATTTCTTTAAAAGAAAGGAAAATTTTTGGATATGCCAATTAGTCCCATTGCAGTTTCAGGAAAAAGTATTCGCTCTTATGTAGTCTTATTATATTCAAACTATTTAAATATTAAATATCTTGATTTCACAGGGATATCCTAATCAGAGTTCACTTTAGTTTCTTGGTAGAAGTAATGAAATGTGTGCGCTCTTGCAAGGTGACAGCCTGTAGGGGACATGTGTTTTATACTTCTTTAAACTTTTTTATAACTTGTCATTATGCTGTTTACATGTAGCATCACTTCCACATGTAAGAATGTGATCGTTTTACAGTTCTGTTATAGATTAACATAAATAAAAGTAGGGGAACCAAAATGCTTTAAAAACTGTATCTATTTTCATTTTAAGAAACAATAACCATATTTTTTTTTCAAGAAAAGACATTTAGTTACTATCTTTAAAGTTCAAGTTCCATCATCTTAATATATAAACAAAACTGAATACGGGATTTAAAAAACCACACACACACACACAGGCTCTAGGTAGAGCTGTAATAAAGAAATTCCTTTTATAAACAAAATTTTAACTGAAAAGCCACAGTAGATGGAAAAAAAAAGAAGAAAGGATATTACTTGGTAAAATCCAGTGACATCTACAATAGTTTTACAGCACATTTAAGCATTCTAGGGTTTTATATCTTCACCTGCCTTCCATTTCTCAACTGATTCTTATAAAACCTCCAATTACGAACATAGGTTTGACCTCAAACCTAATCATGATTTTGAGTGCCAGGAAAAGCAGAACAACAGTCCAAATTTCTTAGTATCATAGCCTTAATTCAAAAATAGTTTTGTGTAAAACACAACACCCAACTAAATGGGGGGGAAAAAAAACAACCAAGCAGCAATATGTAATTATACAAAATAGCTATTAATTATATGGGAAGTGTTTTTTAGGATGACATCTAGAACACACTCGCTCTGAGTCTCCTCAATAATCAAATTGACTTAGACCAACAATACTGCTAAGTACTAAAAGCAGTGAAGCGAAAGAAAATATATCAAATAGTACATGCACATCTTACAGAACTTCCACTGAACTCCCCAATGGCTTCTATGCAATGTGCCTCTTTTCCGTAACTGTATTAACAACTACCAAGAAAGGAAAGATGAGATTAAAAGTAATGATACTGAACCGAATTGTTTGAAGCCAGTGCCCCACATGTGGGGAAAAGTGCATTTAGTTCAGCAGCAATATAGCACAGTGTGAAGATATTGTGCTTAGACACAGATATTCCAGAATTGAAAGATGTACAAGGCAAGTCAAGATATAAAACCATAGTACACTGTTAAATAACCTTGAAACATACATATATTGCAGTTTTCAAAGACATTCATGTCATTGTACAAGGATAGGAAGAAATCCTTAAAGTTACCTACTGTAGTTTATGATATAATAAATACATATCTATATAGCATTGTATATACATATATAGATTGTGTCTGTTTATATGTAATTTATTTATTTGCCAAATTATCCTGTTAGTTTTTGTGGATCTGCAACTTTCAGGAATGAAAAAAACTCTTTTTCACTACAAGTTTCTCTTCCCCCCAACTTAAAAAATATTCATACTAGAAAAGGTCTCAATACCCTTCCCCTACCCAAAGACTCACTTCAGGTCTTTTGCTTCACAACCCATAAGAGAAGCACAATTAAAGAAACTCTAGATTTCTGACCATGTCTTTTCACTTTGCCAGCTTTTTTGTTTTTTAACAAGCAAACACCTTTCACTATTTAAACCAGTTGATGCAAATTCTTTAGCAGAGGATACAAACTCTAGATTTGACTGAATAAAACAGAGCAAATCAAAACAAACAAAAAAATCCAGTGATTTACTCTGACTGTAAACAATACATAAAATTTAAATCTCAAATCTCAAAATAAGTTAAAGAAAAATTCTACCTTCAGGGACTACAATACTAAAAAGATACAACAATTGGTAAGGGGAATATATGAAAAGTTGCAACAAAATTATTTGCCCATTATTTTTCCTAAGAGAAAGTATATCTAACTATACTACCTCTGTCCCTTAAATTTAATAACTTCATAACTTGTTGGCAAATGTTTTAAGCAAACTGGCATATCAGATTATACAACAGAAAAACATCCATCAAATTCGGCAAAGAAAACTTATATAAGCCTTTTGTACAGAATTTTAAAAAAATTCTAAATGGCTATGATTCCTCTATTAGCAGAAACACATAATGCAATCTTTATAAATCTGCCATATATCAATATCTACATAAATAGATACAGATATAGATAAGAAACATTAATGGCAGTCTATTTTTGAACAGTGTGTGGGATCAGCAGATTTGTATCAGACCATGGCACGATATGGACCCTGCATCTTTAGGAACTGAATGATGAAAGAAGGCCCCCCAGCAACAATCTGAGGTGGAAGGTGACTGAGTGGACAGTTCTCAATACTCATGATTGAAAGCTTGCTGCAGAGTGCCAGCTCAAAGGGAAGGCTATGCAGATTAGGGTTGTCATTCAAATACAGTTCTTCTAGGTTCTCCAGTGTACCTGTTTGAAGAAAAAAATCCAATTACTATTACTGTTTTTTTTTTTTTTTTTTAAAATGAGATGGAGTCTCACTCTGTCACCCAGGCTGGAGAGCAGTGGTGCGATTTCAGCTCACTGCAACCTCTGCCTGCTAGGTTCAGGCAATTCTCTGCCTCAGCCTCCCGAGTAGCTGGGATTACAGGCGCCTGCCACCATGCCCAGCTAATTTTTTGCATTTTCAGTAGAGACAGGGTTTCACCATCTTGGCCAGGCTGGTCTTGAACTCCTCACGTTGTGATCCACCTGCCTCGGCCTCCCTAAGTGTTGGGATTACAGGTGTGAGGCACCAAGCCCGGCAAATCAATTATTTTGTAAAAATGAGTTGCTATTTTAAAAGTTCAACTGGGCATGATACTATTCTGGTCATTAAATATACTGAACATACACTTCCTCTTATTCTCCTTTCTTGGTTTTAAAACTCTACAACCATGGATCTCAAACTTTGCTGCATATTCAAATCAACTGGGGAGACTGTTAAAACTCCTGATGTCACACTCCATACAAACTAAATTAGAACCTCTTCCTTTATGGTAGGTCTTCAAGCTTGGAGAGCTTTTTGAAAATGCATATGTTCCATTTTCAGAGATTTTGTTTGGCATACATGTGACATTTATTTATATGTATTTTAAAACTCCAAAGGTGAGCTTATTATATAGTCAACGTCTATAACCACTTTTCTGTTGTAGATAATGTGACATTTTCTTAAATAAATTTCTTATATACAAAATTTTTGTTACTTAATATAAACCTTTAACTAAGAGTTATCACATATATGGTAGTAGTAAGCCAAAAATCAATTTAAATAGTCCTTTAAAAATTTTTCTTAGATTGTCTTAGGATACCTGTATTCTCTAGTAAAATGCCTCAATTAAATGAGGTCAGGTGAATAAATATACCAGAAATATAGGTATAAATTTCCCTCACGTGTTTCCAATTTTTAAATTTCAAAAATCAGAATATTTGACAGTGGCATTTATTAGAAAACTAACAGAAATAATAGCCAGTATGTAATCAATTTGTTTACATGTAAGATATTATTTAAGCTTCGGAGCAACCCTATGAGAAATTACTATTATCATCCTTATTTTACAGGCAAGAAACTTAAGGCTTAGGAAGTTTACATACCATGTCTAAAGTCACAAAGCCAATAAGCAACAGAGCTAGATTTTGAATTGTCAATTATCTCCAAAACCATTCTTAACCACTAACCTATAGTTCCTATGGGACAGGGAGGATGGGAGAACTGTAGATGGGAGAACATAAAGCATAGAATTACTAACTTAAAAGCGAACATTTAATTGCCATGTGACCTCAATCAAGTAATTCTCTTTATAAAGCAAGATCACAACTTGCACTGTCTGAAATTCCAGGTGGTCATGTATATAACATAAAATAATATAAAATAATGGAAATGAAAACACTTGGAAAATGTTAAGTTTTCCCAAATGTTAATATTAAATACTAATATTAATTCTAAAATATCATAAAGAAATGTTCTTTTGGCATAAAACATTATTAATTTAATTCAAGCCTGTGTAATTTTTAAATTTAGAAGAAATATAAAATGACTTCTAAATTGAGGCTTCATATAAAAACTATTAGAAATATAAGTATTCCAAAACATTCTCAAATATTGTATTAATCCTAAAACCAATCCTAACAGCCATTAGGAAAGCTAACCAAAACCAATCAACAATCAACCATTGGTGCTCTATTAAAAAAAAAAAAATCTTAAGCCTGACATAACCTCAGTTTAAAAAAAAAAAGGCATTTGACATATTTATCTGAAATACAGCTTCAATGCACAAGAGCAAATTATTAGTACAGAGTCAAGCATTCATAGGGTTCATACCAATTTCTTCAGGAAGGTGAGTAAGCAGGTTCTCTCCAAGGCCCAGATGTGTGAGATTGGTAAGATGACCAATGCCCCTGGGAAGAGTGGTCAACTGGTTGTTTGTCAAGACTAATTTCTGAAAGGTTAACAAAATAAAAAACAGTTACAAATTTCTTTCCTACAATTTATGTAAACTTAAAATAATACAATAAATTGACAGGGAAACTAGATTGGATAGAATAAGAGTCACTTAAGTTAAAGATTTTTCTTTCACAAAATATCATTTGTTGGGAACACAAAGCCAGATTATATGAACATAAAACTCAGCCCTAACACTAGAATAGGAAAGTCTATCTGATTCAAGAACTACATCAAAATCTTAAGAAAAATGTGCAATTTGGAATGGATTCCAAAAACTTTAATTATTTATCTACAGAACCATCAGGATGATTACCTGTAAATCCTTAAGATATGCAATTTCATTTGGCAAGGATTCCAATTTGTTCTCTTCTAGGTCCAACTCTCTTAACTTCCTAAGGTTTCCAAGACCATGGGGAAGCTTCTTTAGAAGATTGTTTGATAAGATAAGAACCTAATGAGAAATTATTGATAATGTTTGACAAATCATGAAATGAAATTTTATATTGTCATTGTGTGGCCTAAAATCTATTAAGCAATGCTAATTTTTCAAAGACTGAATATTAAAGATAATGTTCAATTATATAACATATGAAACATTTAACCTACTTTTCTAAAAAAAAAAATCACTATAGTTATTAGATTTATTTGATTATATCAAAACTAATGAAAACAAAAGGAGCAATTTAATTTTAACTAAATTACAAAAAAACTGCTGAATACTTACAAATGTTTATCTAATAGGAAACTATTTAAAACTGCTTACAAACCATTACTTAAGGAACCATAACTTCTAAACTTGCTGTATCAATCCACTATATTATCTGTGGTGTCCTTATGACATTGAAAGGCATACTGGAAGATACTGAAGGGGGGAAAAAAGGCAGAGGAAGATAACCTTTGTTCCAATAAAGTTACTAACTAGCAGAAAAGTAGGGAGACAGTACTGGGTTACAAGAAAGAGCAATAGGTAAAACACATATGTAAGGTTCTGGGTAAGTTTTAATGTCCATTTATTTTCCCTAATGTTATACCACCCATAATAAAGTAAACATACAATAAGACCAATAAAATAATAGCAGTCACTACTTGACTTTACTATTTGTAAGACGCTGCACTTAATGCATTGTGTGCATTATTGCATTTAATCCTAATTACACCTCTACAAGGTAAATGCTATTATTGTCCCCATTTCACAGCTTAGGAAACTGAAGCTTGGGCAAGTTAAGCACATAAATATACAGAGATAATTACACTCAGTTTTGTTTGACTTCAAAGCCCATGCTTTTAGCTATTAAACCATACTATTTTACCTTATTAATTTTAAAAATTAGATCTTTAAAATAGGTGGATATGAAGAAAAATTTTAAAAACAATATATTTACTATTAGTAAGTGTTTTCACCAAGAGAAGAAAACTCTAGGAACTTAGAAGCAGGAGAAATCATCCTTAACTGAAGAGGTGAAAATAAGATGGATCTTTAATTACAGAAAAACATACCAAAAGAAAGAAATAAGGGGATGAGAAGAGGGAATTCTAGATATAGAAAACAACAGGACTAAGAAGGCTAGAGATATGCATACCATATTTACAACACAGACAATAATCAACTTAACTAGCAAACAAAATAGCATACTTTATCATGAAAAAGTATGATAAAGCATTCTAAATGCCAGTCTGAGGAATCGAGAGTTTGGCAGACAATGGTGTAACTTTTAAACAGAATGAAGAAAAAGAAAATTGTTCTAAAGATGCTTTTACAGAACTTTTCTTTTAGAGATATTAATACTTTATGGTACTCAGACATACCAACTTTTAGTTGGCAAGAGTAATTCAGAAGCACTGAATCTAGACTACTTAAGTCAACATTTCATTATCCTATTAGGGTTGTATGTTTAAGTGAGTTCTAACATTTCTAATTATGCTCTTAGCCCAAATACAAATTGTATATTTCAATCTGAAATTTTTAAGTGAGATAAGTATGGAAGGTTCTGAGGTGCTCTAATTGCTCATTTATACTAACCTCAAGAGAAACGAGACCAGACACATCTTCAGGGATCTTTGTGAGCTGATTAGTGGCTAAATTCAATTCTACCATACTGGTCCAAGTTCCAAAATCCAAGGGAAGTGATGTTAACTGATTGTCCTGTCAAAGACAAAAAAAAAAGCATCCAAGGTAGAACCACAAAAACAAAGTTCCATATATACACCTGACACTTGGGAAAGAGAATTTTTAATGAAACAACATCTTAAAAAGATCCCTTAGGTGATTTGTTTGTAATGGAAATGGCAAAATACACTAGACAGAAGATTTCAAAAACCCAATGATAAATATGATGTTTTTACCATTTCACAATAATATGCAGAAATCACTGAATAAAATATAAATGCTCAAGTCCTACCAACATACCAATAACATTTTTCACAGAAATACAGAAAAAAATATGTAAGATTTATACAAACCACAAAAGACCCAGAATAGCCAATGCTATCCTGAGCAAATATGAAAACAAACAAAACAAAAAAGATATGAAAATAATAGAAGAAAACATCTAATCACAGCCCATAAGAAAACCAGGATGAGTTCAGGAATTCTTGAGGTGCTAAACAGTAAAGTAGGGGAGGAAAAAATAGTCTTAAAAATACAACAAATTAAATCATTAAAACACTAAACAGGCATTTACCAAATCACTTTAAAGATCTGTAACAAAAAATGGCAAAATGTTTTCATCACTAAAACAGATGATAAAAACAGTAAATATGAACTTAATTTGGTTTAAAAACCAGACATGGCTGTTTACAGAAAAAAAAGTATGCCAATACTCACTGTCTTTCCGGCTTCCACATATTCACCTACAAAGTATATTTTCATCAATAACGACTCTTACCACACTGCTATGTGTTAGGGGTATTGGGAGAGGATAATCAATACCCCATCCAGCTAAATAACAACAATATATACCAGTATGTTAACAGTGATGCTACCTCTCAGTGGCAATATTTTATATCCTTTATGTTAATCTGTATCTTTAAAATTTGCTGCATTGCACATGTATTACTCATCTCATTTCACACAAAATGACCCATAAAAGAAATCCCAAGTAGCGAATATCTATTTGAAAACCAACTTTTTCTTTTATTGTAATATTTAAACTTGTTATCTATTATAATATGTAAGCTTATTGCCTATCTATGCCTAAACTACTAATACTTATAGTATGATTTATAAAGTATTTTCATTTTTTAAAATTTACTACTGGAGCTTATTTATATGCAAATGTATAAACTAATGAACACCTGAACCACTGTGTTTTAAGCCTGTGACTACAAAATGAATGTTCAGAATCAACACCATTTCCACTGTTAAAACTCATAACCAGGCCGGGCATGGTGGCTCACGCCTGTAATCCCAGTACTTTGGGAAGCCGAGGCGGGTGGATCACGAGGTCAAGAGATCGAGACCATCCTGGTCAACATGGTGAAACCCCGTCTCTACTAAAAATACAAAAAATCAGCTGGGCATGGTGGCACATGCCTGTAATCCCAGCTACTCAGGAGGCTGAGGCAGGAGAATTGCCTGAACCCAGGACACGGAGGTTGCGGTGAGCCGAGATTGCACCATTGCACTCCAGCCTGGGTAACAAGAGTGAAACTCCGTCTCAAAACAAAACAAAACAAAACAAAAAAAAAAAAAAAAAAAAAAAACACCTCATAACCAGACTGATTAACAAATTTTAGTTATTAAAACTGTAAGAGTACCTTGAATTTCCATTAGTTTACTTGTTATACACTTCCAAAGAATCTTCATAAAAGATATACACCATATTTATGAACAAGTGGGGATAGAATTTAAAAATTATACATTTAAGATTATAATTTAAAGAACCACAACTATGTTCAAATGGTTCATCATGACAGGAAGAATACTATTAGCTATGTGGCCATTCAGTTATCTTCGTTGGGTCTAAAGTTTGTCCAGTACAAATTAAATCACTGAACTTGGTAATTTTCCAAGTGTTTTCTCCTTTTGCAGTAAACTTCATTACACATGTGAAACTCAATCACTGTAGAATATACAGATAAGCAAAAGGAAACTAAAGATCACCCATAAATAATTCTGATCTCTAAAGATAAACATTTTGGTAAAAAACAGCTATATGTATAAAGATAAAGATATTTAATATGTAATTAAGCATATTAAAAACAGCTTTCAAAAACTCTAGGTGGGAAGAAATTTTTTACATGCATTAACTTTCTTCTACTTGATAAAATGAGAATATTTCACCTAGTACGTAGTATTCTTTTAGACTGAAATATCATTTTTAATGACTCCACACTATTCCACTAAAGATAAATTAACAAAATTAAATCTCTATTAATAAGTTGGTACCGATGAAATAGACAGTTTTGCAATACATATCCCTACAACTATACTTTCACAGACATTCATATTTCCTTTTTTTGAGGGGATGGGGGACAGGGTCTTGCTCTCTTGCCCAGGCTGGAGTATAGTGGTGCCATCATAACTCACTGCAGCCTTGAACTTCAGGCTCAAGCAGTCCTTCTACCCCAACTTTCCATGTAGCTCATAGTACAGGCCAGCTAATTTTTAAAATTTTAAAAAGGTTTTTGCGAGACAAAGTCTCACTATATTGCCCAAGCTGGCCTTGAACTCCTAGCCTCCAGGGATCCTCCCATTTTAGCCTTCCAAAGCACTGGGATTACAGGCACATTGGCCACTAAGCTGGACCATGATTATCTTTTAGGACAAATTCCTAAGGGTACACACAGTTCTAAGATATTTGTTATCTGATACAAATTGTCCTGAAATGTCTTATCAGTTTAGACTCATCAGCAAGGTAGAAGTACTCACTCCCCACACAATTAGAGAAAAAAAGTATTAGTGGAAGTACTAGTTAAAGCAATTCCTTCCCCTAATATAAATATAAGCTTACCTTCATATTCAGCTTACTTAATACTTTTGCTCTGGAGAAAATTCCAAATGGAATTTTATTGATTCGATTGTGTTCCATATTGAGGGAATAGATGGTGGAAAACTGAGATGGACCACCCACTGGATATAACTGGAAGCAATTTCTAGCTAAGGTCAAACTATTCAATTTCACAAGACTTGATAAAAGACTCTGTAAAAAACAAAATAAACGTAAGAATTAGAACTGTGATGAGACTCATTTTGTATAGAGGGTAGACCCAACACAAATGCTTCAAAGGGCTTTGTGGGTGACAAATGACAGAGAGTGGTTGGGGAAGTTTGTAGCACCTCTCTACGGGGACAATCACTACACAGCTCTAGCAGATTGGTGCCTTGCACAAATGTGGGAATCAATGTAGATTTCCAGATTTTATAGGAGAAAACAGAAAATTTTCCTAATTTTTATTCTTTGGCTTCAATTTATTTAAAACACTGTATGAAGTAAGGAAAACACGTGTGTGTGAGAGGTGCCTCACAGGTGACTAATCTGAAACTTCTACATTGTAGAAACTTTAGTGTCAGCCCCAGGTCTGAGTCCTGTCTCTGCCAATGGCTGTGTGACTAATCCTACCTAGGTCTTAGTTATATATCTATCTCTAAATTATTAAGGTTAACATGATTCCTTTAAGAAACCATTAAATTCAGTAGATGATTATACTTCCTGATACTGCATAATACACTGCTTTTCTATATGGTAAAATTTCTGAAGCCATATATGGATCCATCAAACAAGTATTTACTTAGCACATAACCCCATCTTCCCTGACTTTAGCCTCCTACCATTTAACCAAAGTATTAAATGTTCAGGTATTACCAAAGTATCTCTGTGGTTAAGAAGATTAAGCTCTATTTATAGAAGTAAAGAACATAGATAAGAAATAATTAGAAAATAATATATGACTGTATATAATCAATGTACAGAATAAGCTCTCGCTATTCAAAGTCTGAGTCAAGGAAGAGCAGTATCAGCATACCCTGAGAGCTTGTTAGGAATGCAGACTCTTGGGCCCTACTCCCACTGAATCATAATATGCATTTTAACAAGATTCCCAGGTGATTTGCATGCTCGTTAACATCCGAGAAATACTAGTACAGGCTATAAACTGTTTTAAATCCTATCTTTTAATAGCTTGTGACTTCGGCAAGTTATTTTTCTGAACCTAGTGTATTCATTTTCTAAATAATGATCTGCTATGGGTCATAGTGAAGACTAAAATAAGTAACTTTACAATATCTATTAGGGAGTAAGTGCTTACATTTTAAATCCTTTCTCTATTTAAATTCAAAGCAAAGAACATTGGAATAACTGGAAAAACAGGATGAAGGCTGACAGTGATCTAGATCTTGAAGGACGAAAACATTTTAAAGTACTCGGAGAAACAGAAGAAAAACTCTAGATTCAAAGCAAAAGCACAAGCAGAAAGAAGCAAGCACTGTGTGAGATGTATATGTTTTTAAAATAATGTGCAAACTTCAGTTGTCCACTATCAGCAAATGGAAGACTTAGTACCTGAGGTGTGAGTATAACTGGAAAAGCAATCTGAAGGGATGAAGTAACTATATAATTGAGGATATAATTACACAGATAAATGAAACTTGTTCTTTATACTGAACCTTAAGAAGCTACCCTGAACATCTGTGTATTGTTGTACACACAAAAAGGAACAGTAGAGGTAAAACTGTGTCGAGAAAACTGCATGACAGTCAATTCAGGAAAAACCCCTACAGGCTACTCAATTGAAAATAAAGGAGTTTTACTGTGCCTCATGGCAAAACATGTGATTCTTATTATTCTTACTTTATTGAATTGACTTATATGATAAAATGTTAATATCTGAGAAGGGGCAACAAGAAGGCAGCTCTTCAGGCGCTCATTTCCTAGTCACACCGTGAAACAGGTCGCTTTTTTTTTTTTTTTTTTAAGAATCAGACACATCTAGGTTCCTATTTTATACCCTTTACTTAACATACTTCCAGAAAAATATTTAAGGTATGTTAAGCTCTTAACATACTTCCAGAAAAATATTTAAGGTAACAAATACGGCCAAAAATACAACCTCTCTTAAGTCTTATTTCGCTGTTTGATGAGGATACTCCAGTAACTGGTAGGTTTATGGCAAAGATTAAATGAGATAATACATGTAGAGCACCTAGACTCATACCTTGGGAATACGTGGTTCAAATTATTAAGTTCCTTTTCCTTATATGTATGTCTACATTAAAATAAGTCCATTTTCAGATAGTCTTCAAATGGCAAAACAGTCATTTTAGCAGCTCTGATTTCAGCTATTTATAGCCCTTATTGAAAACCACTTTTATGATTTCTTGCCTAACCCAGCTTCAGTATCTCATAAGTGCTGTCTAATGGATTTTGTTTTCCTTATTATAAATGCAGATAATTTCACATTTGCATTGAGATTATGCTGCTTCCAAAGCATACTGATTACTTTTAAAGACTTCACACTTTCCCATATTCAGTGGGACTGGGAGTGGGGCCCCAAGAGGTTACATATCTATCAAGCTCCCAGGAAAACCCACATATCCTAACAGGTACCCAGTGATTATTAGTTTCATTTCACTGACAATAAGACTGGATATATATCAATTAAAAATGTTTTTTATTATACTTTAAGTTCTGGGGCACATATGCGCAGATCTTGCTGGATTGTTACATAGGTATACATATGACATGGTGGTTTGCTGCCTCCATCCCCCCGTCATCTACATTAGGTATTTCTCCTAATGTTATCCCTCCTCAATCTCTCCACCCGCTGCTATCCCTTCCCCTAGCCCCTCCCACCCTGCAACAGACCCCCGTGTGTGATGTTCTCCTCCCTGTGTCCACGCGTTCTCATTGTTCAACACCCACTTATGAGAACACGCAGTGTTTGGTTTACTGTTCTTGTGTCAGTTTGCTGAGAACGACGGTTTTCAGGTTCATCCATGTCCCTGCAAAGGACAAGGACTCGTCCTATTTTATGGCAGCATAGTGTTTTTTTTGGCGAGGGAGGCGCAGGGGGGAGTGAGACGAAGTCTCCCTCTGTTGCCCAGACTTTACTTATAGAAGTAAAGTGCAATGGTGTGATCTCGGCTCACTGCAACCTCTGCCTCCTGGGTTCAGGCCATTCTCCTACCTCAGCTTTCTGAGTAGCTGGGATTACAGGTGCCCACCACCTCACCCACCTAATTTTTTGTATTTTTGGTAAAGACAGGGATTCGCCATGTCGGCCAGGCTGCTCTCCAGCTCCTGATCTCAGGTGATCCGACTGCCTCAGCCTCCCAAAGTGCTCGGATTACAAGTATGAGCTACTGCACCTGGCCTTGAAGAACCTTTATTCCTAATTTGATTACATACACACACATACTCACAAAAACTATCAAGATAAAACATAGTAGGTGCAGTTATGTAAGACATTTTTGTTACAAAAAAGACTTTGCATGGCTAAATCCATGAGTCCACAGTCCTTTTGTTGTATTACTACAGTTAAGATATGCTTGAACAACTATAAGCAAACATCCATTGCTGACATGCTAAAATAGGTAGGAAAAGAAGGAAAGTCAATAGTAAAAGACTAATAATGTTGATAAAGACAACTTTAAAAGAAGAGTATTATATTGGCCAGGTGTGGTGGCTCACGCCTGTAATCTCAGGACTTTGGGCGGCCAAGGTGGGTGGACCACTTGAGGTCAGGAGTTCGAGATCAGCCTGACCAATGTGGCAAAACCCCATCTCTACTAAAAGTACAAAATTAGCTGGGTGTGGTGGTGCATGCCTTTTATCCCAGCTACTTGGGAGGCTGAGGCAGGAGAATCGCTTGAACCCAGGAGGTGGAGGTTGCAGTTGAGTCGAGATTGCACCATTGCACTATAGCCTGGACAACGAGAACAAAACTCCATCTCCAAAAAACAAACAAACAAAAAGTACTATATCTTACCCAATTAACTCCTAGGCAAAATAAGTAAAAATATTTTTCTAACAGAATCAACAAAACCTAAAAATGTGTTGAAAAAAATATTTTGGCAATTGTTATATACTAAATAGGCCTTAATATTATTGTATAAACTTGAGTCACAGGAGAATTGCTGCTAGTATTAATTTTGATGACAAATAGTGCATTCTATATCATTTATCATCTTTTTTTTTATAACAGAACTGAGGTAGTAATATAGTTAAATTCTAAAACCAGCCATATAGCTTTTTCCTTAATACTTTTACTGCCACTTCCCAAAATGGAATGAGAAAGACTTACACGGTGCTAAAGTAGAATACAGCACACTTAACTTTTCTCCCAGTTTTTCCCTTTTTCTTAATAGGCTCATATATTCATTCTTTCTTATTTGTAGTTACTTTAGAGGTAGTGGTACATCCACAGCATACGCATTATTTAAACAATCCCAATCACCAAATTATTTACTCTGCTATAAACATTTACTAGCTTTCCTTGAATTATCTTGCAGACTCATTTCAAATCTTGTTTCTTCTAATCCATTTCTTACCTCTGGTAAAGTAGAAATGTTATTGTTCTCTAAATTTAATTCTTCAAGTGCACTGCATTTTGCTAATGATCTGGGTATTGCTGACAGTCTGTTATATCTCAGACCAAGACGACTTAAACTGGACAGGTTTCCTGTAAACACACACAAAAAAAGAAATTTATTTTTTACAAAATCTGATGACCCTCTCGCTGTCACAGGCCATCTACTAACAACTTACAAATTAATTTGAAGTACTGTTTCACCAAGATCCTTAACTTCTAGCACCAAGGAACCTATACTACACTATCAATTAGGATGAAACTGAAATCACTTTTATGCTCACTTGTCTTGGAGAAATAATGAAATACACAGCTGTAAGTTGGTTTTTAAATGAATGATTAAAGTAGTGGCATCCTTTAACAAGTTAATCTTTAGATAATGTCTAACTTAACTGCATCAAAGCAATGTATATTCAAAACTTATAATAATTATTCCATTTGTTCTACGTGATGATGATCCAACTTAGAACAAGTGGTCATATGTAAGTATGTGCAATTTTGGAGAAAAAAATTCCAAATTTCTAAAATGGTATTGTTTAAAATATAAATTACTTTCTGAAATCAGAAAGGTTCAATACTGGAAAGCTGACTTGAAGGCAAAAAATTTCTCAACTCCCTCCCCAAAAATTAGAAACCAAAGTGAAAGTTATAGTCTCTTTTATCTAAGCATATCCAGCTTGAGCACAAACTAGCCATTATTGAATAAATAAAAAGCAGAGTATTTTCTTTTCTTTTCTTTGGAGACTGAGTCGCGCTCTATTGCCCAGGCTGGAGTGCAGTGGTGCAATCTAGGCTCACTGGAACCTCCGACTCCTGGGTTCAAGCAGTTCTCCTGCCTCAGCCTCCAGGACTACAGGTGCATGCCACCACACCTGGCTAATTTTGTATTTTTAGTACAGATGGGGTTTCACCATGTTCACCAGGCTGGCCTTGAACTCCTGACCTCAGGTGATCTGTCCACATCAGCCTCCCAAAGTGCTGGGATTTCAGGTGTGAGCCACCGGGCCTGGCCTAACACAGTGATAGCAATAACAAATATTCTCGTTCTTACTTTTAACCTCTAAATTTTCTGGAGCTTTAGAAAATCACCCAATCCTTTTTTTTTCTCTGCACAATTGACACATCTCATTAAAGTGTCATCAGAAAGACACTGATGAAGTCACTAAGTGAAGCATCCTTAGTTAATTTAGAAAGCATTTTAAAGACTAACTTGTCTTTGCTAAGTGGTAGCTTTTATTGTTGCTTTTGTATTCAACTTTATGCATGTTGGAATCTCAATTAGAACCAGCAAACTCTTGTTTCCAAATACTATTTGTACAAAATGTTTCCTAATATCAGTTTCATCCCTTCTAAGTCAGTCACAAAATTCTATTTGTATTCTCAAAATAAATTTCTCATATTTGTCCCTTCTCCAATCTCACCCTCATAATTTTTTATTTTAGAGACAAAGTCTGACGACTCTGTAGCCCATGCTGGAGTGCAGTGATACAATCATGACTCACTGCAGCCTCAACCTCCCCAGGCTAAGGTGATCCTCCTACCTTAGCCTCTGGAGTAGCAGGGACTACAGGCACAGGCCACCACACCCAGCTAATTTTTGTATTTTTGTAGAGATAGGGTTTCACCATATTGCCTAGGCTAGTCTTGATCTCTGTGCTAAAGTAATCCACTCACCTCAGCCTCCCAAAATGCTGGTATTACAGGCGTGAATCACTGTACCCGGCCAAAAGTATTAATACTAAAAACAAACTATTCCCTAGTGTATCAAATGTAAACACTCTTTGCTAGCTTCTAGGGGTCCCTATGATACACTTCCACCCTATCAATCTAGCTACTTATTGTTTAACTGCTGTATAATTGCACAGTGCCATACAAGACACAGTCTGTCTCCTCTCAAGAGGCTTACAGTAGAGCAATATATTTTTACAAATAACTATAATACTTTGTAGACTACGGTAATACCCTAAAAGAGGTATGAACAAAATCTTTGAATGTTAAAAGATGGGGGAGACAACTTCTAACACAAAGGACCAAAGCTGGCTTTATAAAGTAGAAAAGTTAATCTTAGAAAGAAGGAATATCTCTGTCTCCAGGAACAGGAGGGAATGAACAAAAGATGAGCAAAGAGGGACAATAAATGTAGAAATAAGAAGTTTGGGGCACTTCACACTGTAAGGATCATCTTCTCCATAAAGTGAACACATAAGCTAAATTGTGAGAAAAAAAAAATGAGTATAGTGGTTTGAAGTTTTAGACAGCCATCCCGTGACATTTGATAAAAAGATAAGAGATGAAGAAGATATCTAGGAAGCAGCAATAAGAGTCATCTGAGGGTAATCAGCAGGGACTTTACCATAACATTTGTGAAGTAACTTGTCACATCACCAGCTAGTCAATCAAACTTGGCTGGCTCCCTATCAACAAATTTTCCTTCAAGATCTTCATTGACTTTGCTCTACTTAGCTTGTTTCCTTGACACAGAAGCATGCTCATTCTCACCCCCAAGCCGTTTGACTGTCATGCTGTTGTGCTCATGGACTGCATTTTTCTTCCATACTGAGTTCAATGCATTTGTTTATTAAGCCATTCTTGGCCATTTTATCAAGATCTTACTGACCTCCTGGTAAACTGAATATACCAGCATACTGTTTTCACCACAGTTGGCAATTAATTTTATTTTGTCTCATTTGTTTCATGGATTAGTTATCTCCCTCACCAGTCTGAAAACCCAGTCAAGTGAGGAGCTTTGCTGTATTTCTCTCGATAGAATTTGTTTCAGTGCTCAGCATACAACAGGCATTAATTCACACTTTCTTAATAATTACAGAAACTAAAACATTTCATTATTTGTCCTCCTTTCCATTAGGAACAAGATACAAAAAAACTACATGTTAGGCCCATAAAAATCTATTTTCTTCAACCCATTCTCATATTATAAAACAGCATGTCTATGAAACAGATTTTATTGGTCATGATTGAAATATATATATATATGTATATATATATATACACACACACATATATATATATCTGGTCTATCTCAATATAAATTAATTATTCTACAAATATTTGCAGAAAATTTTCTGGGATACCCAACTTCTGAACAGTCCATGCTTAGATACACAATTCCAACTTTCTGCATTCCCCCCACCCGTGGCACCACATCATTTTTAGTTATAAAATATTTAAATTTATCTCCCTATTTTTCTTAGATAATCATGGTTTATAGTATGATACATTCCTATTGAGACCTAAGTACTTATTTATACATATACAAATGTAGAGATTTCTTATGTTTATGTGTTTGCTTTCATATAAATAAGATCATTCAATATGCTTCTCCCCCCCAACCATGTAACAGGTGACAGATATATTTTTATGCTGAGTGAATACAGATATTATCACATTCTATTGAGTCACTGTAAAGTGTTTCATGTGTGTGCCATTATCTTGCTAATCATTGCTCAATTGATGGCATTTAATTTTTGAAACGAGGAATTCTGTAATAAATATCTTAGACATATATCTTTATGCACATGTGAAAATATTTATGTGTCAGAGGATACAGATATTTAAAATTTTGATAAGTTGTAACAAAAGGCTATATAATTTTTATTTCCATCAAGAATGAAGAATAGCTCCCATTTACCCACATCCTTGTAAAAAATGGGGAGGAATGGTATCAACATTTTATCCCTTGTCTATTCCAATCCTATGGCTACCGCTACAGCAAGGTCAGCAGAAGTGAAAATTTTCCTGCAAGTAGTGATGTCTGATTATAAAGAACTTCAAAATCTTCTGATAAAATTTTAATTTCCTATATGCAGCTGCAGATAAAAAGAGGTGGCCAACCTTTAACAAGACTATAGCTTTCTCTCCTTTACATCACTGCTTTCCCTATGGAAGAAAGTTGTTCCATTGTAACAAAATGGCTAAAGTGTTCACCAAGGGGTCTTTGAAGTCTGTCAGAAGAGGGGAGAATTTATTAACAGTAGAAAGTCTCCATAATTTTGCTCCATCAACTGATATGCTTCATTTAATAAATCCTTCACAATATCAGAGTAGATGAATATAATATTTGAAATGTTTTTTATTCACTGAAAACTAAAATCTTTCTGTGGTAACAAAGATTAGCAGGGGAACCAAATTCTAAATGTTTGTCAATGCAAAAGCCTAGTAAACAGAAGCAGATTCTTGAAATGTCTCATCCAAAACCAAATAACTCTTAAGATTCTCACTTTTAAAACCAGAGTAGGTTCCTAGAATATAAAAATTACAAAATAAAAATAATGTAGCTAAATTGCTATATGACATTATCTACTATCAAAACCAGTAGTAATTTAAATTAAAAGGTACCTCCACCTTTGTTGGATCTAAACTTTTTGCTTTTTGGTGGGGCAAAAGGGGTTGAATTTCTAAAAATGTAATCTATGAGAATATGCTATTCTGATGAAGAAATCTCACATTTGCAAAGGCCCTATCACTTGAGACCACTGGCATATTCAAAGAATGTCATCCACATTTTGCCAAAGTCTATTACTCTCAGCTAAATAAAAGAGGTTTAAAAAATTAAGGATAAAATATCAAAACTCCTTTACACCAGAAGAAAACATCAGAAATCTGGCATTTATTGTGATTCACCCTCTGCTGTGGTTTCAACTCTAACCTCTCTCAATGAGTGGTTTTAACCACAAACTAAACTGCAACCTAGAAATCAACACATAGCTGCTTTAGTGTTGAGCCATCTTGACTAAGAAATAAAATCATTGTTGCCACGCTTCTGTATATAAACGTAGGCTGATCGCTGCCAATCACCAGCATTTAGCTTCTGAGTGCTTAACTTTGTCTATAAATTGTTCTGTGCTCCACTTCGACAGCTTGCTTTCTTATGCTGTCAGATTTTTAAAATATGGTGAAATCAAATGGCTATGAATTAAAATTAGATGCTTTCAATTTCAGCAAATATAAACAGCAACTTTAGGTTACTTTAGTATAATTTTTGAGTAAGACTAATTTAAATTATCTTATTTTAACAAATTAGCAAAAAAAAAAAAAAATTGTAGGAAAGACTCAGGGTTCGAAGGATGAAATGTCAAAGGTACTATTATTTTTTCTGCAACATTAAACTGAAAGCAAACTGAAAAGTAAGCAACACAGAAATTCCTGAATGTTAAAAACCTGAAGAACACCACTTTATTAAAAAGAAAACTAGTAAAGTTGTTACACATACACTGCACTGTAATTACCTAAAACCCAATTACTAAAATGACTAAAAGGCTGCTTGTTGATATAACCATAATTACTGTAACATTTCTTCAGAGCCCAGTGCAGCAAAAAGGCCTCTGTGAATTGTTGTGTGCTCTAGCCTTGAAGGCAAGGTTTTGTGGCATAGTTCTCTCTAAATCTCATTTTAAGAAGGAACAAAAAGTAAACTATTTTTTCCTGCGTTGGACCATTTCTTCCCTGGATTACATAGAAGTACCAGAGGTACCAGAAAGCTTTAAAAAAACATCACATTCATACTTCAAAACAAAATAACTGTTGGAATGAAGCTTATATTTTCTTTTGTTCATAGCTAATTTCTGATTAAAAAATATTCATATAAAATAATATATATTTTTAATTCAACAAGGCAGGCTAACAGTTAAATCTAGAAATAAATATGTATTTAAGCACTCTCTTACTTAACTGCAACTTGGTACCCCCCCACACACATCACCACCACCATCCCATTTCCTTCTGTCTTTTCCTCACATCCTATAAGCTGTCAGTGATACCAGCTACTCAACCTGGAAGTAAATGGCACTCATTATCACAGGGGAGTGACAGTTACTCCAGGAATGTTCATGTTAAAATAAGGAAAAAGGTAAAAATATTCTGGTCTACTTATAAGAAAAAAGAAAAGAAAGAAAAGGCAAGCAAATATAAAATGATTTCTGGAAAGTGATTGTATGATGATACAAGATTTGATTTTCAGTTATGAGTGTAGGGCCAGATTTTTTAGTCCAGGGAAAAGAGAGTGGGCAGCTGCTCCTAGGCCAGCAGCAACTCTGTAGAATAGGTATTGGGCTTTCTGTTTGTGAGATTTTAAGTTATACTTTCTCAGAACCAGAACAGGATTTTAAACAGGTAAATTATCAGGAGAACCATAATTCAATTTAGTTTCCACTGGCTATTTTGGGTAAATTGTTCTTCTTCAATAAATGAGAGTGAAAATCTTAATTAAGACTGTTGAAATTTGTAACAGACCAAGGCTCAACTGTCAAAGTTTCCCACCAAACCTCAATATTCTGCTACATAATCAAAATACTGGGACTGAAAAGGATGGGGAAAGAGGAAATAATTATTTAATAAACATGGTAATTGATAAATGACTACAATATCATAAACAGTTTCAATAAATATTACTCATTTATTTTGCCATTTACTCAAAGTAACAGCTGTCCTATACTTGGCAACAACTATCAAAGCATATAAAAGTAAATGCAACGTTATTTAAAATTTTCTTGTTGTTAATGTTTCAGTTCTCACTGATTTCCAATATGTAATACTGTGATCTGACCCTCCAGAGTAAGTTAGAGGTGAGGCATATGTGATATTCTGAGATAACATCTAAACTACAAGAGATTAATAACGAAATCAGATGTTTTCACATTAGTAAACACACTTTTATACAGAAGAATTACTTCTAATAGGACCCTGCACTCCAGCCTGAGCAGCAGAGTGAAACTCAGTCTCAAAAAAAAAAAAATTTTTTTTTAAATTAAATATTTATGATGGAAATTATGTAAACTGAGATGTAATTTTTCTAAATAAACATTATAGTATCCTTATACCACATTAATAACTAAAAAGGCATCAGAATTTTTAAAATTCCCTTTACTGGTATAAATTATGGGCAATCAAAAAAATAAACAAGACTACATACACACAGAACATATCACAGCTCAATTCAACTTTCTGCAATTTGTCTAAGTCTTTGAAACATATTTTGAACTTCAAGACATCTCCTCACTTATCCCCTGAGTATTACAGATAAACAAACTTTAAATTATATTGGCCGTGTTTAAAAAACTAAACACCAGTGGTTTTATTTTACAGTATGTACTTTAGCAAAAAAAGGACCACACCCGGTATAATAACAAATAAGCAAAAGCAGAAAAAGCCACCCATTTTGCAATTTAAGCTATGATAGGATATATATACACGCAACTTGATATGCTCTCTCTTTTATAATCCCATTGGGCTCATTTCCTTAAAACCTATTTTCTTTGTCAAGAAAAGGAAATGAAAAGTGATTTTAAAATATTATCTTAAAAGTCTTACAACTTTAGTAACTGTGAATTTTATGAATTTTCATTACCAAATGGATCAAAAATAGTCCTGTTAATATCCAGTTAGCTATTAACAGCTATCAATATCTTCTTTCTCCTCTCATACCTATAGTATCTGGGAGGTCTAGCAGTTCATTGTGCTGCAAGTCAAGGTTGGTTATCTGTGTACAGTTTCCAATCTCCTTTGGAAGGTGTTCAAGTTGATTGTGAGCTACATCCAGCGTAATGAGGTTACATAATTCACCTGTAAATTGACCAACATAAAAATTCAATAAGTATTCTTAAAAGACATACTAGATAATATTGTAAGCAAAAAAGTAAATTTTATAATTTCTGAACACAAATAACTGGAAACATAACCTTTATTAGGTAGGCAACTTTTAAAATGTTAAATTATTTACTGAACATACTTGCATTGCAAGAAAATAAAAACTTCATTTTTCTATATTACAATTTCATTTTCTTTCTCAAAAACTAAGTCAACCACAAATCTGAAACCATTACTTCAAAATGACATCTGATAAAATTAAAATATTGTTTGTGAATGATTACTTTTCCAACCTGTATTACATGCTCTTTTAAAGTAACCAATTCAATCACAAATGTTTATATATTCCAAAATTTGAAATACTGATTTTGTTAACCAAATCCAGCACAATAATACCAGATATGCCTTGAGTTCAGTTTGAGGGTCATAATCTACCTCAAGATATGGAAATGGAAAAGTGATTTAAAAATATTGTCTTAAAAGTTTTACAACTTTGGTAAATGTGAATTTTAATCTTGAATTTTCATAACCAAAATGAATCAAGAATAGTCTTCTTAATATCCAGTTAGCTATTAATAGCTATCAATATCTTCTTTCTCCTCTCATAGCATCTGGGAGGTCTGGAAGTTCACTGTGTTGCAAAACAAGGTTGGTTTTCTGCATACTGTTTTCAACCTCCTTTGGAAGGTGTTCAAGTTGATTGTGACCTACATCCAAGCTTTCAAATATGAAATGAAATCTCATATATACTTTCAAATATGCAAGTGTTCTGATGTTATATAAATGCATAAACTGACATTTATAAGTAAAAATAGCTTCTCAATTTACTAGGACTCTAAAAGGACAGAAAACAAGGTATAGTTCTCCCTTTCTATTCTGGTTCAAAGGTCTGTACTGGCAATTTAAATTACCTAGTGTTATTTAGCTTTAAAAAACATTTTCATTTTTATTGGTCTTGTCAAGGTTTTTCTATTATTATTTTTTAAGGCAGAGGTTGGAGATACAGAAAAGCACAAACTAGAGAACTTTTAATGGATGTGGAACCCACTATTAAGCTAAACACAATAAACAGGCAACAAAAGAAAAATTGATAAATTAGATTTTATCAAAACTAGAAACTTTTGTGCATCAGAGGATACTAAGAAGAGTGAAAAGACAACTTATATAGTGGGAGAAAATATATGCAAATCATGTATCTCATAAGGGATTAATATCCAGAATATATAAAGAACTCCTACAATAAAACAAGACCACCATGAAAAACCTCAAAGAAGCCAATTTTAAAATGGGGAATGGACTTCAATAGATATTTCTCTAAAGATATATAAATAGCCGATAAACACATAAAAAGATGCTCGACATCAGTAATCATTAGGGAAATGCAAATCATGAGGAGACACCACTTCACACCCATTGGGATGGCTATTATCAAAACATAGAAAGTAACAAGTACTAGTGAGGATGTGGAGAAACTGGAAGCTTTGTGCATTGCTTTTGGGAAAGGGTACAGTTGCTGTGAAAAATTGTATAGTGGTTCTTCAAAATATTAAACATAAAATTATCATATAATCAAGCAATTCAACTTCAAGGTATATACCCAGAAGAATGGAAAGCAGGGATACAAACAGGCATTTCATAGCAGCATTATTCACAATAGTCAAAATGTGGAAACAACCCAGCTGTCTATTAAAGAATGAATAACCAAAATGTAGTGTGTATATATAATGGAGTCTTATACAGACTTGAATACATTACCGACATGCTAAACATGGATAAACCTGGAAAAAATTATATACCAAGTGAAATAAGCCACACGCAAAAGAACAACTTTATGATCCCTTTTATATGAGGTACCTGAAATAGACAAATTCATAGACACAGAAAGCAGAATCGTGGTTAGTAGGTACTGAGGAGAGGGGAATGAGGACTTATTATTCAACAGGTACAGAGTTTCAGTCTCAGTTGATGAAAATGTTCTGGAGATGAGTAATAGTAATGGCTGCACAGCAATGTCAATGTGCTTAATGCCAGTGTACAAGTAAAAATGGCTAAAATTATAAATTCTATGTTATGCATATCTTATAACAATAAAAAAAAAAAAAAAGTACGGGACATAGCTAAGCCAGTGCTAAGAGGGAAGTTTATAGCACTAAATTTTTACATTACAAAAGGTGTAGGATCTCAAATCAGTAATCTAAGTCGCCATCTCAAGAAAACAGAAAAAGATAAAAATAAATCCAAGCAAGCAAAAGGAAGGTAATAAAAATAAGAGTACAAATCAATAAAAATGAAAAGAGAGAGAATAGTTAATGTAAATACAAGTTTGTTCTTTGGGGGGAAGAAAAACAATGTTTATTGCCCTCTGCTATGACTTAAATAAAAAAGGGGGAAGACACATATTTCAAATAATAGCAATGAAATAAAGGAATACAGATTCTATGGTGCTTTAAAAGATAAAACGATTATATTACAAAAATCTTTATAATTATAAATCATAAATTCAAAACCTTAGAAGATATAAAATTATTTCAAAGCCACAAGCTACCGAAACTCAATCAAAATGAAACAGAAAACCTGCATCATATGATAATCATTAAATAAATATTTATAAGTAAAAAGTTTTTCAAAAAAGAAATTCCAGGTCCAGATGGCTTCACTGCAGACTTTTACCAAATGCTTAGGAAAGAATTAACACCAATTTTACCCAATGCTTTCCAAAAAAAAAAAAAAAAAATAGAGAAGAAAACAAGTTCAAACTCATTTTGTGAGGTATTATCTTGATATTAAAATCAAAGACAGTACAAAAAGACAGCATAAAAAATAATAGCACTATAACTCAATGTCTCTCATGAGATTTATATGTCAGGAACTTAGACACAAAAATCCTCACCAAAATGTTTGAAAACTGAATTCAACACTATAAAAATGATTATATATCATCACCAAGTAGGATTAGGATTAATTCCAGATATGAAAGGAGGGTTTAATATTTGGAAATCAATCAATGTTATTTACCATATCAACACTCTAAGGAAATAAAAATCACTTGATGATTCATACAAGGAAAACTTTTAACAAATTCAAAATGCATTCATGTTAAAAACTCTCACCAATTTAGAAACAGTGGGGCATTACCTCAACTTAGCAAAGAATTTCTATAAAAACTTACAGTTGACTTCCAGTTTCCAATCTAACACATAAAAAATTTTGAAGTCATCACTCCTGTCCTCACAACAAGAAAAAGGTTGAACAAACTGAAGATCATCAATTCTTCTTACATCCTTTTGAGATCAGACAGCAAACCTCTGCCCCCAGAACTGGAGAGAAATGTGATAGAGTTACCAGGAGTCGAAGCCACAGCTGGGAGCGTGGTAGGAACACTGACTGCATTAATTAATTCATTCGAACAAAAAATTACTGCTATGTACATTCTCTTTTCCAAGCACAAAACTGGGCACTGAAGAAACGGACTACTTCAGTATACCAAATGCTTGTATTCATGAAATTTAAAATTTGTAAAAGACTATAATGTGATTTGCGGGAGGCTAGAGTCTCTGCTCCAAATAGGTCCTTCACTGCCTGCTTAGAAAACTTCACCATTAAAGGGCCATTCTTTTGGATCTTCATGGCCATTCACAGTCAAAATTCTTTATCTTTAAGGTGGTGACCCATTTCACTGACTCATCGATGAAAGAAAAACTTACTGTGCACCTTCTGGAGATTCAGCAGTGCAGGAAACGAAGGAAGTTTCCATCCACATGAAACTTACACTGTAGTGTGCATGGAGTGGGGAATCATAAAATAAGTAAATAAAGTTGTCAGGATGTGATAACTGCTGTAAACAACAAGAAAACACAAGGAAAGAAAGTTGGAACTGACTGTTGGGGGAAACTGGAATGAAAAAAAAAAGCATGTTTGAACTGAGATACAGGGGACGGGAGGGAAAGCAGTAAAGGAGAGGAGGGGAAGTGAGAAATCTAGGATCTTAAGTATCAACCTAAGGAATCTGGACCATTTTGACTAGATAATAAAGCACAATTTAAAGTTTTTAAGCAAACCATGATAATCAGAGTGCTGTTCTACAAAGTCTGTTTTCTCACAGATGTGAATGGATGGACTGGAGAAAGAGAAACAGAAAATACAGAGCCTAGGTTGAGGCTATTGCAATTAGCCCACAAGAAATAGTGTGAAGGTCTACACTACGTCAATGGCAGTAGAAATAAGTGAATGAACAACAGGCTTAGTATCAAAAGAGACAGAAAAAAATGACAGTAATGGGATTGAAAAACGCTCTTCAGACTATATATGGCGAAGATCTGTTTTTTTGGTCTTTTGTTTTTCCCAACCAGTTGCAGATGAATATTTAAAACACAAACTCACACACTTGGATGTCTCAGCAATGTCAAATTCTAAATGCTTACTTTCAATTTCTGTTCTTAATTTGGGCAAACTAGTAACAAACAGCTGGTGGCCCAGTACCTGTCTAGTGAGTAGGTTACACCTTGATTAGAATTATAACAACAACAAAATCCTCTGATCCCAGATATTGAGGCTGGGTTGATAGAGAAGATAAGATGCAATTATGAGAAAGCAACAGAATCCACAAGAAAGAAAAATTGAGCTGAAGTTATAATCTGGTCATGATGAAGTTGAGGTATCAGTTAGACATGTACATAAAATATTTAGTGGCTAGTTAGGGGAAAAAAAAAACATGAAGAAGAAAATGTTATCATAGTAGAGTATTTTTCTCCTAAGAGAAAGTTGCAGTTAACATCTGTAAACAGTGAACTCTGGCTAAGGGTAATGGTGGATTCATGTTGATAATTTAAAACTGTGGATAAAATATTTAAAGGCATACAGGGAGAAAAATGTTAAAACTTGAGGGAATTTAACCCTTACAAGAAGGAAACTGTAGTAAGCAGACTTCTAAGATAACCCCCAATGGGCCCGCCTCATGAATAATTGTATACAATATA